AGCAGTCCAGGACTGAGTCCTCTGGGCCGTCTTAGTCCCAGATGTAGCTAGGCAACAGGACTATAGAAAGGAGCCAGTTCTTAGCGTGGATGTTACTTCGTCTATTTTCTGGTCTTATGACGTTCTGGGCAAGTAAAATTCGCAGTTTGTTTTTTACGAACAGTGGAATTTGGAGGGTGAAGTAGGACCTCTGGAAAGTCGAAAGTAGAGACTTTCTGCAGGCGCAAGCCTGTAAGCTAAGCTGGCTGATGCTGTCAGTAATCCGGGTTGAATTGTGAGGTCCCCGGCCTCAATGGATTCCTTATAATGCAATGTATGGCTGTGTTTTATTAAGAGAAAAAAAAAAAAAAAAAAAAAAAAAAACTTTTTTTTTTTTTTTTTTTTTTTTTGACCCTCGCTTGCATATCTATGTACCTCTGGTAATTCCCTCTTCCTAAGCCGGAAATCGGGTCCAGCGTCCCATTCCAATCCAAAAAGACTTTCCAAAAAAATAAGACCTTCAAGCTCAGAGAAAAAAGTATAACTATCTCTCCCAGTGGATACCTCTACCCTTGGTCCCATAAGGACAGCACTTTCATAACCAACCCACTGTGTAATAAGAGATAGCCACAGAACAGTACTTAAAACCGTATCAGGCTAGCCTAAACCGGCCCCTGATTTTAATCACGAGTATCGGAGAGCAATGCACAATAAGTAAAGCGGCCCTCTTGATTGATGGAAGCGAGACGATTGTTAAGAGCCCATGTCCTTTGAAACCAAATGATGTTTTTACGATGCCAATCAGCTCTAATTACCCTTCGGAGGCCTTGTTTAAACAGCCGCTGCTGGTGTCTTAATACCATTTCTTCTCCCCTGAACACCCTGGCATTTCTGGCTGTCCAAATGACTTCCAGCAGGAGACCCCGACAACATAAAGCGACGTAACCCCAGCCCGAGGAGTAGGAGTAGGAATGTGGTAGGATGCCTGTGAAGACCCAAGCATCCGTCCACTCAAAGGTCCCTCCAACTATCTCGTTCCAATGGTTAGTCCACCAATAATTAATTTTGTCTGCCAAAGGGCAGTAAAGCCATAGGTGGGCCATATTTTCCCACCCCCAATTACATCTCAAGCGCTGTGTGGAAATCTCCATTCCTTTAGAGGCCAGCCAGGTCACCGTTGGGGTAACCAGCAGAGACTGCATCCACATGATGCTGGCTTGTTTCTGAACTGGGTAGCTCCTTAAGGCCCTCCAAAGCTTCGTGATAGCAGGAGCAGTGACTTCCTTTAGCCGATGCGAGTTAGCTCTTGCCACCGCCAAGGCCACCGCTTTCTTCTTTGTCTTTTCTTGGAGAGACAGAACCCCCACTTTAGCCCGATATCGACAGAGTGGTGTAAAGGAATCTTTTCCCTCCAGCTCTTTCCAACCCAGCAACAAGGGTTCTACCCGATAAGAGCTAGCATCCCGAAAAAGGGAGGCTTTCCCTTTTCCTCGAGCCCCCTTCTGCCACAACACCCGAACTTCCACCATGTCTGAAGTGTCTTCTAGATGTATGTCCTTGTCTTCTCTAATCAAGGTAGTACCTTCAGCAACTGCACCCCCAACTGTCGCTTTCCATTTTTGGGCTCGGATACCAGTAGGCAAGTCAGGTCCCAAGATCTGCAATATCTCCGCCGGGTGGGATTTATTTCGAAGCCATGTGCCTTCTGAGTGTTCAGAGTCTGGATGGAGCAGCGTGATCCAGTGAGCGGGGATAGCATCTACCAAGGTTGCATAGTGAGTTTGTACGTTATGAAGTCGTGGAAGTTTGTGCCTGATCTGTGATGAGTCCAGGAGCCTAGAATGCTCAAAATCCCAAATGTCTTTCACCTGCATCACCCCTTTCTTAATCCACCCCAAACCAAAGCTTCCAGGGGTATCAGAGGCAGCAAACCAAGATCCATCCGCCTGGTTAATATAGATATTCTCAAAAAGTAACTGATTGAGGACTTCCTGTTTGGATGAAGGAGCAGAACTAGCACTTGGAACAATATTCTTCCATGCCCCCAATATATTTCTCCAAACTCTGGAACTCGGTTTGCGGTTGCAATAGGAGGGAAGGAGCATACATACCCATACCCTGAAGTGATCTTGTAACTCCCATTCAGTCCCTAGAATATACTCAGCCAGTAATATCCAGATCTTAGTTCCTTCCTCTTGCATTGTCAAAGTTGGCCACTTAGCCAACATGGCCAAGTTCTGCTGAAGTGGGTCTAACACTCCTAGACCCCCTTTCTTCCTGGGCGCCGCCACTACCTCCCATGCCACTTTAGACAAAAAACCTTGGTCTTCAGAGGCTTCAAGCTTCCATAAATACTTCGCAGCCACACTTTGGATTTTCTTGTAGGCCCCTTCCCCTAAAGCATGCACCGTCAGAGGGAACCAAAGGAGAGAGAAGGCCGAGGAGGATAATACAAGAGCTCTGCCAAACAGGGAGAGTCTGGCACGCCTTTCCCAACCGGCTATCCTGGCCACCACTTTGTCGACCAGGATACTATCTTGTATCTTAGCGCAATCGGAAAAGGAAACTTGCAACCCCAAAAATCTGTCGGAGGAATTCGCCGGCACCTGGCGAAGTCCCCAATCCACACAAAGCTCAAAGAGATGGGGCAAAAAATATGCAGACTTATCCCAATTTATTGAGGCTTCCGATAAAATACAATAGTCATCTAAAATTCTTCGCAATTCAGTCATACTAGATGTTTTGTTCTCGCAGGCGACTGTCAGGTCATCTGTTATGGCTCCCCCTTTCCATTGGAAGGAGGGGGTCAATCGTAGACCAACTACCGTGGTATTGACTCTAATATTGGCCATTAATACTTCCAACTGCAATACAAAAATTAACGGGGCTAAGGGACACCCTTGCCTAAGGGAGCGGGACATGCCAAACTCCTCTGATTGGAGACCATTAACGAGGACCGACGCAGTTCCTTTCGAATACATTGCTTTAACCCAAGTACGGAAGTAATTTCCAAACCCCATGCTGACAAGAGTGGTATTGACAAAAGCCCAGCCTACCTTATCGTAGGCTTTTTCCATATCCAACATGAGGATGACGATTTCCCTATTTTCCTTGCCAATAATTTCCAACGCTTGAACCGTCGATAAAATGTTATCAGAAATCGAACGACCTTTAACGAAGGCCCCTTGTTCAATTCCTACCAAATTA